GCGGGGCGGGCGGCGGGGTGCACACCCCGCCGCGGTACCGGCAGTTCCCGGAGCTGACGCGGGCGCAGGTGATCCGGAGCGAGCTCCTCAGCGGCTTCATGTGGTTCTGGATCCTCTGGCACTTCTGGCACAACTCGGACATGGTGCTGGTGAGGCCGGCGCGGCGGGCGGGCGGGGAGCGGGGGCCGGGGCCTTGGCCGCGCCCTGACCGCGCCTCTCCCCCAGGGCCACTTCCCCTACCCCGACCCTTCGGCCTGGACGGACGAGGAGCTGGGCATCCCCCCGGACGACGCGGAATAGGCGCCTCCAGCCGGCGGCGCACCGGTACGGCCCCTGCGGGACTGCGCCTGGGCCGGGCTGTGCTTTGCAGGGCACCAAACCCGGCCACCAGCGCACACAGAGCCCGGGCTGGGCTTTAGCTTTGCTTCAGAGCTCCCCGCTGCGATACGGTGCCAGGGCACCGTGCCTGGCTCTGCTTACCGGCCCTCTTCGCTTGGTGCTGGTAGAAGTACCCTACTTTCAGCAATTATTTGTGCACTTCCAAAAGTAAATGTGTCACATCTCTGTTGTACAGAATACAGATATTCGTTTGCACCTTTTATTGCCTTCACACGCTCTTTTCTTGGGTACCTGAATGCTCGAGTCCAGGTAGTCCAGTTTTGGCAATATAAGCCTGCAGCGTAACAACATATTGTTGATGAGTTGTAGCTTAACGGCTGCCAGTTCAAAATTACTTTCTTTATGCTGCTTTGTAGACCTAGCATTACCTAACCTTGAGGACATGCTCTCTCTGTTTCTAGGGAGAGACCTGTGCAGTTGTCCCCGTAAAGGTTTAAGACTCCTACTTGTTTCCAATTCTTTAATTACCCTGTCTCTTAAGCTGCCCTGTCACATTATGGCTCCAAAACTAACAGCTTCAGCTATCGAGGAGGTCCCTCCCCTGCTCTCAGTGGTGGGAAAAGGATGGGTGAGAAGGTTCTCAGGATTCTCTTCTGTTACTTGCAGGTCCCTGGAACTAAAGAGGTCCCTGGAACTAAAGCTTTGGCTCCTTGGTCCTTATTTCAATAAAAGTTAACTGTAAACAACCTCTAAGCTAAACTGTACTTTGTTTTTGAGTGCTGTAGGACTTCTGGAGCATGAATGTTACAGCTTTAGAGGTGGGGCACTTGAGTCCACGCGAGCTTCTGTAATGCTTGCTCGATATATCATGTGCTGCCCCCAAGAAATAAGGTGATACATCCATGTTCAGAGAGTGATTTAAAACTTCCATGAATGCACAGGAGGTAAGAATCTCATCATTAAAGCTCTGCCAAATAACCACTAAAAGGGTGGAGAGAAATAAAACTTGTCCATGTTACAACTGCAGAGAAGCTAACTTAAAAGACATTTTACTGAAATGTTGTCACCAAATAGCAGTTGCCAGAGAAGCAGGGGAAGTTACCCTGAAGAGAACCCAGACCAGCTGGTGCCAAGGTTTCCCCGGGGTGAGGGGGAATCGCCCTTGGGTATTATCAAAGTCCAGAATAATCCTTGTGAAGCGAAACCCCCTGCAAAGGTAAAAATGCCTTAGGGCTAAGCACAGCAGTCAAGGAGGCAGTGGTCCAGCATAAGGGAGATGGAGGTGGGTTACTCTCCAGGAATCCCTTGGTGGTTTGTTTGTTTGTTTGTTTGTTTGCTTTTTTTCCCCTCTTCTTTCCTCCTGGAGTTACATTCTAAAGCAACGACACCGAAGTAAATTTTTCACTCCCCTTAACCACCTTAGTTGCACCTCTGGAACTTCTTGGAGTGGAGGGGTTGTGAATGACATGATAAACAATCTTCTTCAGACTTTTCCATGCAGTCAATCTTTATTATAGCAGTATTCTCATATTCACATCAAGTACATAGAACTTTTTGCCTTTTGTATAATACAGAGTTCTTTAAATAACTTTACACAGAAATAGTTTTCTTCAATCTGAATTCAGCTATCAAATTTTAATATGTTTTAAGTCTCCATGCTCTCTAACCAAACTGGACAATATTTCCCATTGTACAAATTTACATGAGAAAAACTCCAAAGTACAAATGAAGGGACAAGAAAAATAAAGGGGGAAGGAGCAAACAAGAAAAATAAGTTGCATTGGCAATTACAGGGGAAACTTGAGAAGGAAAGAAGGGGAGTTGCCATGACCTATGTAACAGGAAACTGAAGATAAACATTTTGTTACAAATTAAAAAATAAATACAAGTTTCAAAAACAATTACTCCATTGTAGATTTTAAAAAGCAGCTATGGAAATCTACTAACACAATTGCTTTTTTTTAAGTAACCAGACTGGACCTTCTACTACTTTGCAGTCATAAGCCCCTCGCAAACCTCTGGTGGTCAAAAAAAAAAAAAAAAAATACAGCTGAAAGGAATGTGTTAGCACAGAGTTTAAATTGGTGGGACATACATTTCATTGCACTAAGGAACAAACAAACAAACAAAAGAAATCAAATCTGTATATAAATTTCCCTTTCCTCTCCTTACTAGATACTTTGCCTCTCATAAACAAGCCTCTGTATTATGAGGTAATGCCATTGTCTTGACTATATATAAAAATAATCAAGTTTAAAGGCTATAGATCTGTATATCTATAAACTTTAAACAAGCCAGTCCTCTCTTACCCCCCCCATAGGCTCCAGCTACTGAGGGCTACACCTTCCATCACGTTTTAATGAAACGTACGCATTGCGCCTCTCGTGGAAACCCCCCAAGAGACCGGTGCGCCTTTCCTAATCTAGGAAAAGCGGCATGCGCTCAAGTAAGAAAGAGAGACAGTGCAAGTAATGCACAACAGATTACAAACACGTTATACCTGCTCCTTCAAAACAAGGCAGAGTCACAGAAGGCAACAGTGGCCAGCCTGCATGTGTGTTCGGACCAAGGGGAAAAGGGATCCAATTAGGCAGCTGATGACTGAGTACTTCTGCAATTGTCACCTGCCCAGCCCTGGGAGACGGTCGCTACACCCGAAACGGGGCGGGGAGGGAAGGGGCAGGAGAGGCACAGCCCAGGTGCGCTGCCTCCTGCACCCCCAACAGCGGCAGACCCTGCGCCAGCGGCACGGGTCAGCGCTCGAGCCCGAAGGGATTTCAAGGGTGGCAAGAAGTAGGGGGCAGGACTTTCCCCAATCCCAACAGATGTGATCAGAAGAAAAGCAACGCTATTTTGGGTTGCCAACACATGCACGTTGGCCACTGTCAGGTTTCTGTCAGTTGAGAAGTGTGGAGAGGGGGGAGGAAGGGGAAGCAGGTAGGACACAAGGCTCATGAAGGAATGATGTGCATTTTTTTTGTTGATTTTTTTTTTGTGGTTTTTTTTGTTGTTGTTTTTTTTTTTCCCCCCTAAAGGTTCACAGCTTTGAATAAAAAAGCACATTTATTGCACTTACATCTTATTTCAGACAGAGTTAATTTACATTATGCCGTCAGAACCCCCCACCATCCCAAAATAACTCAACTCCCAAGTTTGGTCCATTTTGCCCCCTAGACCTAACATCTGTGCCCAGATGGCGGGCTTCATTTCTTCTCCTCATGTTCCACTGAACTCCCGAACACACAGATTTTCTTTTCAACTAGGGTGAGTAGACAAATGCAACACAGAATGACGTTTACCAAAACAAAACCCAACCATTTTCCAAACCCAAACAAAAAAAGAAAAGTTATTTTTTGTGTTTTGCTCGCTCAAAAGTAAATGTGTCACACGAGGCTTATTCTAAAGTACAGCTGCTGCAAACGCGACAAACTAGACAAAATGACTGGACAGGCCACTGTTGGCTCTTAAGGAGGCTGGATGAGCTGAACGCACTGCTGCTGTGATGCTATGAAGCAAATGCCTAGGTAGTTCAGAAGTTTCTAAACACATCCCATCCCTTCTCTTAGGGAAATAGTTTCTTTGTGATTTTGTTTAAAAACAGACAAAACACCATCTTCTCACATGTACTTTTAGTGCAGAACTTGGGGTAGGCAGAACGATTCCAGATAGTTCCTGGAACATTAGTAAAATGTTTTTACACTTTGCTTTCTAAAAGGAACAAAACCACATTAAAACTGGTCCGATATTTCGTATGAACTGTGCATTTAGACAGAACTTTGTAATTTGCAATTATGCCCAAAGTCTTGCCCCAAAGAAGAAAAGGAAAAGATCTGAAAAAGCACTAATACCAAAACGCAATTATTTTGTCCTTCATGGAGAAGTAGGTTAAATATGACACTGGTATGTAGGTACTGCCACAAGTCTACAGAACTGGTTTGAAATTTGAAGAAATCCAGTTCAAACAGAGAGGTTGTCCCTCAGCTGACAAGGCACCTACCATCTCCCATGGTTAACCTGCTATAAGAGTATGTGATCACTGAACAGTAACTGCAAGAGGCCTGAGGAAGAACTAAGGAAACCTGCTGGTATTCCAGAAGACAAAAATCAATTGCACTTTCTGGGCCAGGGAATTAATTGTATGGTCTGATAATGTGGACTTTGATGACATGAGTACTAGCCATCAATTTCTCCTCATCGAGCTCTCATTTTTCATCTACCATCTCATTCCAAGATGCTATGACAGTGTCACTTTGGGCCTCTGGAGCTTTCTATTACCTTTCTTTAACAAGATCTTTGCGTCTTTGGAGGGAGAGGAGGGGTTATTTATTTTTAAAATAAATGAACCTCATTTAAATTTCGACAGAGCAGATTTCAAGCAGCAGGTTTACTGTAACTGAATTAGGTATCCTTCAATTCCTAGCTTTGAAATGATCACAGGCATTTTGGGGGATGCTCTCTGCCCTTGCTCCTTTACAGAAGTTTACCAACTCCAAACTACCTATCTATAGTAATAGCTATATACAAAACTACTGCATCAGAAGTAAACCAAAGCCACTGCTCTAGTTACAAAGCACCTGGTTTACATTCCGTTGTACTTTTTAAGGTTGCGAAGGCACATGTTCATTTGGCAAACTGCAAAGACTGTTTTGGGGGATCCCTATGTGAACCATTTAACAGAGGGTCTTGGTAGCTCTCTTTTCTAAAGAAAAGCTTTTCACCCAAATTCGCTCTTGGTGTGCTCTATGTTCTGCAGTTTTTAAAGTTTCCTCCTTCCACAGTTCCACAGTTATTTACTGCTGTCATGGTGCTGACTTGGTAGCTTCTGTGTTAGCATCCTTGAAACTTAAACGCAAAGGAAAAGTTTTAATAACTTTGCTCTGCTCTTCTGATAATTTTATTTACTAGGTAAGGAGTAATGAAGCAATGAAGAAAGATATTTAAAATGCATGCCAAAACAAATA